TTGGATATTAATTCATTTGTAATTTCCTATTAGATCTATCTCCTATTGAGCATTTAAATACTTGGATTATGATTATTATTTCTAGACAAATTTTGAATTATTTTGTCGAGTGTTTTTAAATTATTGATTTGTGATCAATAACTTTTTTGCTACTGAAAAATACACCACATTCATTGAATGCATTAATATTTCTCCTGGAACCGTTACATTTTATTAATTCCAATTTGTTTTGTGGGTATTCACATGTTAGTTTCAAATAATACTTTGTCAAAGTGGCTGTTATACTTATATATATATATAAACACATACATGCTTAGATGGTAGACAAGGTTCATTTATTGAGGCAATTTATTTCAAAATATCGTAACTAAAATATTAATTTTTGCAGACGGCTCGAAACTCGCATTTAAAGAATGATTTGCTGTCACCAGATGGGGTTTTGGCATGGAAACATAACTAGAGCTAATTTATGAAGATATGTCTAAAAACATTTGAAACAGCTATGTAAATTAACAGACCAACATGTTTCACTCAATAGCTTTATTAAAATGTCTGTTAAATATCAAGCACGGGCAGTGGCGTAGCAAGACTCGCTATAAAAAGGCAATGGTAACCTAAAATTTGCCGTTTATCTTGGTTACTTTAATTTGTTTCACACGTTTTTCCTCTTCTACCCTTTTTCTGCGTTCCTGTGCGCCACTGAGAGGTTTTGCTTTCGACATCATTCTGACAGCCTTCGTAATTTTGCCGGCGCGATCAAGATCAAACCACAAAACGCCGAAAATCGACGACTCCCTAGCATTGTTACGTAACAAAATGATTTGAGCAGAACTAACATCAACGTTATAAGATGTGCATTACTGGTTTTGCAATGCAGCTTTTGGTTCTGCGGCTTAAATTTCTAAATTCCAACCGCTTGGGCCCCTTTGCGCCGTGGGCCCTCCCGCGACCGCGGGGGTTGCGGGGGTGGATGCTACGCCACTGAGCACAGGTATAGCACAGAGAATTGTTTTGGATATTAATTCATTTGTAATTTTCTATTAGATCTATCACCTATTGAGCATTTAAATACTTGGATTATGATTATTATTTCTAAAATTACCAACAGTATTCAGGTCATTAATAACAGATGAACGGGGGGAAACAAAAGACTGCAGTGGATCAGCCAAAATTTCATAAATATTTTTACACACTGGAAGTCTACAACAGGTGATTGTCTCAAGGATTTTTTAACTAAATAAATGCTATACAGCTGCATGCAACACAATTTGTACTCATATTCAAAAAACAACAACATTTCATTGCTTCTACAGCGTATAAAGGGCTCCAAATACTGTACAGTATACCATATTAGACCAAACATCTGTCAGACCCCCCTTTAATTAAGTGTAACATAAAAGTCTTCCATATTGTTTTACTATATCATATTCATACATATAAATTTTTCGTGACTTGAAACACTTTTTAGAGTTAGACCATCGGGACTATTGAAAACTAACATTTGCCGGCTTCCGATCGGACCTGCTAGGTGTTTTGGTCTAACTTGTCAATTGAAAATTTCAGACCCCCCTCCCCCTTCAAAATCTTCAGCTATGCCCGTAAGGCAGAGGTCGGCAGCCTACGGCCCGCGGGCCGGATGCGAGTGATAGAATCCGGCCCGCGACGGTTCACCGAATTATAGTAACAAAACAGCTGTTTTAACGATTATTTTCTTTACGTAACAGAAATTATTGAGACACGTGTAGATTAAATTGTATTATAACTTAACAAGTATAAAAATCACAATTACTCTCGTTTATTGAGCCTATATAATTTAATTATAATTCGACAAATGGCAACGAAACGCAGAAGTTAATGCTGAGTGCAAAGGATTCAATGGCGCCGAAAATATTTAGATGGAATTTTTTGAGATGCGATAAGGAAATAAATCTATATTCTATTCGGGAGATGTATCACTGCTTGATTTTTGGTATAAAAAGTATCATCCGTTCGGTTTTCACCTTTCTAAACATGTGTGCGGTCCGCCAATGACTTGCAACTCTTAAATTTGGCCCGCCAACGACAAAAGGTTGCCGACCCCTGATGTATGGTATGGTCAAATTAGATATCTTTTATACAAAGCCTCTGCCCTAAAAACCGGACGCGACGCCACCGCTCAAAATGAAAAGAAAATAGTAATTAGCTAGTTAGGGTTAGGACTACCAGGTTTCGCTAGAAATTCGATTTTTCTCAAATCTCGCATTTTTGCATTAGTGGCGGGGCTTTCTACGAAAGATCCATTAGGGGGAAATCACTCAAATGTTTTATTGCTCCACGTGACGTTTGGGGACATATCCTGGCATTAAAGTCAGACCCCCCCCCCCCCCCCCTCCGGACAATATCCCCCTCCCCCAACCCAAATAAGGCGATGATGCCAGTTGATCCTTATTATGACCTGGACTAATTGTTTGGTAGGCGTATGGTTAGATGGTCTTAGTTGGGGTTGCGATTCTACAGTTGGTCTAACTTGAGGTGGGGATTTTTTAGTCCCGGGTGGGGGGGGGGGGGTATTCGTCAGTTGATCCATTGTTTCTCCTGTACTTTTATCGAAGTATCCACGATAGATTTGAAGTACATGCCTATGCCCACTCCGATTAGGATGGATTTTTGATGTTGTGAACAAATGCCGAGAAACGGTGTATATCTAGTCTGAAATAATAGTAGGTCGCTCCTTTAATTTACAAATTAACATATTGGAAAACCCTCATAGGACGTGCGCAATTCGCAAAAAAATTAATATCAAATTTTTATAACATAATCTCTTTCATGCTTTTCCTCGTTGGCAACCACACACATCAACTTTATTATTCGCCTTTTTTTAAATGGGATATTGTATTTTCAATCCGAGCTATAAATGTCATGTCGGAAGTTTTTAATACGGCCTGACAGTTTTAATGGTATTGTGGTAAAATGAGTATGGGCAGAGATCGTACTGGAGTAAGCGCATGTAATACTGCAGATGGTGATGCAACTCATACTTATATCAGAGGCAAAACACAGAACGATATATATTTTCTTTATTGATATATGCATAGTTGACTTTTCATGGTCGACTGATTAATCTGACGTTGTGTAGATAATACTATAAATAGGCTACAATGTACAAACAGCTCGGTTTGAAATCAAAGTTCGTCGAAGGAACATTTCATTGGTAATCTATTAATTTCTATGAAATCGTGGTTGGTACGAATTTATCGACTTCGAAAATTCACAGTTTACCGTAAGCCATGTAAATATTGTCCATCATATCATATAACCGATGACATTTCGAGGAAGGAGGAAGCAGTTTGTGTAATACAGCGATTAGCGTGGTTAAAAAGTATCACTATTGGGTATACCCCGAATGAGAAAGGGCGAAAGCAACCTGAGACAGAAACGAGTATACACCGTTTTGCGTTTGTCAGACCTGTTCTTATTATTTGGCTACGTACTAGTGAGTGTAAATTGTTGACGCGGGCTGCAGAATTGTATCTTGTCTTTCGTGGTTTTTGATATAGCAAATAAACTTAAGTTATACGGATATAATATATCATTAATCTTTCAGATTCGGCGGGCCATTGAAATGGTATAAATATTAGCGCGATCCAGATAGGGTGTTGTACGGTGTACAATTTTTGATATACTAATTGATCTAAAATTATTTGGAGGCTACCTTTCAAATTTCTGGAGTGTAAATTTGTTTATCCGCAGGCATATGCAAAGAATACCTATGATGTTATGTATTTCTGCTGAGTAACTTCATATTGTAAGCAGTATTTTTCAATGAAATTGCTCTAAGCAAGGCTGCGCGCACTCACTTAGAAATGAAGGTAATTAATCTATAACCGAAGTTACGCCGATTGGCGTGAGACTTGGAGCAGTTTATGTCAATTCGACCAGGAAAACATGTGTGAGGTAGTATATTCCACGTAACTGGTGTTTGGGGAGAAAATTTTGTGGTTCAATTTTTGCCTGGTAGTTTCCCCATGAACACTTTGAAGACCCTTACGAAAACCCTTTTCAACAAGAGTGTCATAAATAGGTCATCATGGCGTCTTACCAAAATATGTACAATATATTATGGCGTCATACTTAATTTTCAAATAGAAGTGAGATACAGAATTTTAGTTACAGCAACATACGTAAGCTTTATTATATATATATAGTAGGTTGTATTTATGAAACTCAAGGCCATAATAAAACGTCATAGCACCGTGAAACCCGGCGTCATAATAAGGGCTATTCCAAGTGACACTACAGGACAATTCCAGAAATTTTGCATGTTATTAAATGCAATATATTTTTTACATTTTCAGCTACATGTTTCGTTTCATTGTCCAAACAATTGCTTTATTGAATATGGAAAAAATTGCACAAAAGTTACACACGAGACTTACTTAGTGGATATAAAAAATATAGTAAAATACAGCGTGACACTACAGGATGGCAAATCCACCATGGATTAACGTTACATTGTGTTGTGCTGTAAATTTTTGCGATGGTACAGCAGGAGCCCATAATATTTTCTGGTGCAGGACCCCCTTATGTGTTTCTCAAGTTACTAATGTAACACTGTAAATCCATGCCAATAATGTGCATATTGTATGTGACATTACGGGACGTGACACTACAAGACATTTTTCCACTTCGGAACAGCGGCCTCTATCATCTCTTAAAATTCTGGTAATAAATCGTTAAATGGGTGAAGAAATGTCCTACAGCACTGCAATTATTTAAACTTTATTAACTTAAATTCAGTGCGTCTATTTCATATGAAATAACTGTATCACACAGCCAAACACTTTGTGTCACGCATCATCACGAAATATGTCAATTATTCCAAATTTTTTACATTTCAGGCCATTTTTTATAAAGCATCAAAAACCTGGGTGAAATTTCAACTTTTTCCGTGAAATATATGCAGTCCAATAAAATTCCTATAACTTTTGATATAAAAAATAAAAAAATTTACTTTCACTAAACTGATGGAATTCAACTTTTGCTTGGAATTGCCCATAACCGTTCCTATTCGCGACAAAAGAGGGGCGTGGCCCAAAATGCTGGTTAAAAACACTTTACTGGTAAGTCAAATTATCATTCCATTTTTTTTAAATAAACGGGCTTACGACAAAAAAAATTCGAAATTTAAAAAAATAAAATAATGTTGCTTAGATGAATTAGTAGTAATATATAGATATTTTTTCGAAAAATGAAGGCATTATTACGGTAAAACTGTCCAATTTATCTAAATAAGCATATTTTGATTTTAACGGGGTAGATTTTTTCAAATTAAATAAAAATCATTTATTCGGCCGTATTTATTTTGAGCAAATATCCACTTCCGACCATTTAAACCAGGTTTATTCCGCAACACGCCTAAATGAATAATCGTTCGAAATTGAATGCCAAGGCCCCCAGGTCTTCAGTCTACCTTGCTTATTGGCAATTCCGGCCCGCTTTGATCGGTTGGAGCCGTCTCTTATTCTTTACTTAAGCAGGCTGCGAATTTTCAAACGATTGAAGTTCATTTTACTTTACGCATTTTACGTTTTATATGAGGGTATGAAAACACCCTTTTCTTTCAGAGGTATTTTTATTTCTTTTATAAAGCCTGCGGCGCGTGTAATATAACGTAAAATAGTATATTGTTGATAGAACGGTTGGGGTATTGTATTACTCGTTAAAATCCCAATTGAGTTAGACTGTTTGACAAAAACCTTTTGCTTTGAACATTGATCCGCTTTTAGGGCTTGTGCGGACCTTCTCTGACCTCTCATACAATTTTTGTTTCAGTGTTTACTATGAATCCTAAAATTACAGGCTCCCTTAAAACAGACCAAGCTGACCGTTTGATGACTTCTCTTGCTAGGTTGAGAGAAAACAAAGTTCTTTGCGATTTCAAAATAAACGTGGAGAATAAATCCTTTTTAGTTCATCGAAATGTATTGATATCTTCCTCTGCCTATTTTGAGAGCATGCTATTTAACAACATGAAGGAGGCTACTGATGGGTTTGTTAATATGACAGAAGTGACCGCTGTTGGTATCAGTGAGTGCATTCAGTTCATGTACTTAGGGACGGTTGATTTGAGGATGGATAACTTACGAGATATTTTAAACGCGTCGGATATTTTACAACTATTGTCGTTGACAAACTATTGCCTTCAGTATTTGAAATCAAATATTTCGTTGGATAATTGCTTGTTTGTATTAAACTTAGCACATTTGTACAGTCGAGACGACATAAAACAGGCCGCATTGAAAATTGTAACCACCAATTTCGAAGCCGTCATTTCCGATGAATTATTTCCATCTATCAACGAAGCAACATTGGCGAATTGTATAAAGGTTTCACGTGCAAGTCATGAAGCACTTTGGAAAGCAGTAATAACGTGGGTGCAGGGCTCAAACGATGCGCACCAACAGCATATTTTAGAACTAGTACAAGCATTGAATTTAAAAAAATTTCCGTGTCGTTTTGTTCTGGAGACCATTTTGAAAGATCCACTAGTGAATGGTAACAAGCCAGTGGAGAGTTTTGTGGTTTTCAATCTGTTTTCTGATATTGAAGAGCGTTTGGAAATTGATACTTGCTTTGCGCTGAAAAGCCTATTGCAAAAGTATAAGATGAATGGAAGCGATAATTGGAGTAAAATCGAACTTGAAATTCATCGATTCATTAGAGGAAATTTGCAACATATGATGAATTTAGAAGAGTTCGGCAGTCTCAGTGACGAAGAGATTGTTTTTGTGGTCAAATCAGGAGAAGGAATTCACTCACTATCCAGCTCTAACAGATGGCAGGCAGCAATGATGTGGATCAACCATGATGTTTTGATGAGAAAGAAAACACTTCCGAAGTTGATTAGGATAATCGATCTCAAACAATTTTCTGTCGATTTTTTACGTGAAAATGTGCGATGCAATACTCTTGTTACCGAATCTCATGAATGCAAAGATTTGCTTATTGATGAATTATTTCGTCGGATAAATACGGATGAAACCAAGTCAGGCAATACAAGTCAGCCCATATTCGGCTTTGGAAAGGGATTTTCAACGCAGAAGAGTACGAGTCAGTCTGGATTCGGTTTTGGAAAAGGGTATTCAGCGTCTAAAAGTACAGGTCAGTCTGTATTCGGTTTAGGACCAGGATATTCAGCGCCTAAAACTGCGAGTCAGTCTGGATTCGGTTTTGGAACAGGATATTCAGCGCCTAAAAGTACAAGTCGGTCTGGATGGAGCTTTGGAATAGGATATTCAGCGCCTAAAAGTACAAATCAGTTTGGATTCGGGTTTGGAACAGGATATTCAGCGCCTAAAAGTACAAGTCAGTCTGGATGCGGCTTTGGAACAAGATCTTCAGTTTCTAAAAGTACAGGTCAGTCTGGATTCGGTCTTGGAACAGGATTTTCCGCGCCCAAAAGTACAAGTAAATCTGGATCAGGCTTTGTAACAGGATCTTCAGTGCCTAAAAGTATAGGTCAGTCTGGATTCGGTTTTGGAACAGAATTTTCAGCCCTTAAAAGTACAAGTAAATCTGAATTCGCGTTTGGAACAGGATTTTCAGCGACTAAAAGTACAAGTCAACCTGGATCCGGCTTTGGAACAGGATTTTCAGCCCCTAAAAGTATAATTCAGTCTGGATTCGTTTCTGGAGCAGAAATTTCAACGATTAGTAGTACAAGTCAATCTGAATTTACCTCATTAAGTGCCACAACTCAGGTAACCACAATTCCCAACCAATTTAATCTCAGAAATACGTCCACAACATACAACACGACAACAGCAACGACTCTACCTTCGGTATTTAGATCTGGAAACGCATTCTCGGAAACCACACGAAATATTCATACAGGTTTTTAAATATTGTTTATTATAGAACCAGGAAAATAATTCACGATAATCCTATTTATGAACTCAATACCACTCAAACACAAAGTTGATGTGTCATTTCTTAATCGGTTTGACAATTCAATGAAATATTTTTCAACTTTTCAGGTAAATTAGAACAAAACCAACACATAACGGTGCTGAATAGAATATCTGGTGGTCAAATGAATATTCATCCTTCAGAACTTTATACGACTGAGTTTGGGTGGTGTAACTACTATGTTATTAACTATAGCTTTTCTGCTGGAACTTTTGAGGTAACTTTTGTGCAAAGACAGTTTGAGAAGAAGGCGGACTTATAATTTTTTAATATGCAACATATATATTTCAATATGCAGGGAATCCCTTATTCAGCTCAAAAAATCACCGCCTATTTACCAATAGAAGATGGCGTAATACAACTTATTGATTATCTCCGACTGGCATTTAATGCCGGGATGATATTTAAGATTGAGAAGCAGAGTGATGGGCGCGGAACTATTACATGGAAAGACATACCGCATAAGACCACTATTGACGGGGGGCTGGACAAGTCAGTATACATCTTTAGGATATTATGTGTAATTATTGGTTGCTCCAACTCAAGGTATGTTTTAATTTCAGCAATGGATACCCGGACACCAACTACTTGAACGAGCTCCGTGAATCACTGAAATTAAAGTTAATGTAAATATAAGAGCAATGATTATATATATCATAGATATATAATGTAGTAATTCATGAAAGTATTGCCGACTTTATTAATTTAACATTCATCTTTGTTCCTCTAAAACACGCTCAAACATTCAAGCCAACGCAAAACCAAAATAAATATTCATCTAATGCTTGGTGTAACCAAATTTTAAGTCCTAGATTAATTGTGGGCTATACTGTTTATGGGAAAACGACTTTGGATTTTGTCCGTACGAAAGCATGGAAAATATTAGCTGTTGGACTGCAAGTATGTTATAAATATTTCCAGTCTTGAAAATCTTCAATTGTACCTGATATTGTATTGTGTGAAACAAGAAAGCGATGCTCAAATTTTCTCATTCTTGTTCTCGTGATATAATTATCTTTCACTGCGTCGTCGTGATCATCCCTCTGCATAACAATTCTCGCTAACAAATAATTGACTGTTCTCCACCGGATGTATATCCACTTGAACCACTGGCGACTGCATTAGCAGGCTTGTATTGTTAATTGCAACAATAGAGGGTATTTTGAAATAGTACTCTTTATTTTACGCGTACGTTTCAGCAGTATTTCTCTCTATATTGGTCGCGACCCAAAGCTGGGTTCAACAAATACATAAAAGTTATTGATTTTATTTCCTAGTAAATTTGGTGCTTTCGTAGTTTGTGCACCAAGATTGCGCACAACCTGAACAAAGTATTGTAGCAGGTTATGGTTCAGGTTGTGCGTCATTATGATGCACAAGTTTGAAGAAAAACACTAATACCAATATCTCAACAAATATCTAAAAGTTATTGATTTTATTTCCTAGTAAATTTTCGTGCTTGCGTAGTTTGTGCACCAAGATTGCGCACAACCTGAACGTAGTATTGTAACAGGTTATAGTTAAGGATGTGCGTCATTATGATGCACAGGTTTGACGAAAAACACTAATACAAATATCGAGCCGTAAAAACAATTGCTCAAGGCTGCGAACTCCAAACCCATGTAGAAATGATTGGCAATGACCCCAAGATGAATAATCACAAATAAAAAAAACTTTATGTCTGAAATCAAACTTGGGCCAAAAAGGTCCCCTTATCTGCCGGACTATAATGCGGAAGTTCGGGTTCAATCCTACTTACGTTAGATTGGTGCATTTGCAAGCACAATGGTTGTACTAAATCGCGTTAAAGCTGCAACCAAATTAGCTTCTTAGGAAAAAGTCAGTGAATTTTTGAGGACAAGGATGGTAGTTAAAGTTTTCTGGCGAAAGTTCCATACATGCACATGTCTTATAAATGTTATAACCAGTTCCAAACAATCGGATCCAGAATGAAAATATGTGAAAAAAAAAATGTATAGATAAATATTCTGGTTAAATATTATATTTATTAAATAGCGATGCATATGATGATAATAATAATATGATGATATTAATAATAAATATACAATATGCTCTACGTTAATATATCTTGCATACTTTTTTCACTTTCTTTATATTAGGTATTTATGTTTTCTTCGGACATAGTTCGATTTGGAATAGTAAGATCAAATGAATATTCTGATTGAATATTTTATTTTTTAAATAACGATGCACATGATGATAATAATAATATGATGATATTAATATTAAATATATAGTATGCTCTACGTTAATATATCTTGCAAATCTTTTTCACTTTCCTTGTACTAGGTATAAATGTATTCTTTGGGCATGGTTCGATATGGAATATTAAGATAGTTTGAATATCTTTTGTGATTGATGAAAGACTTGAGGATGCATTAAAATAAATGTTTTTCGCATATGACTCGAAATTCTTTAGAGCATTCTTGATCTTCAACTTCACCACGCAGTTTCTTGTTTTTGCCACGTTGCCAAAATAAAGTTGCGCAATCTTCACGTCTTCTTTTCCGTTTTTTTCTGTTTTGTCTGGGTCTTTCGTTGGAACTAGCGTACTTCCCATCTGACCATATCCATGTGCCCTCATCTTTAATATCATTTAGCCCGACCCAATAAACTGCATTCTTAAGTCGAACCATGGATACAATTTCGTTCTTTTCATTGTAATTACGCATTCCCTTCGAAAGGAGTCTTCCACCTTTATACTTACATTCATTAGATGCCGCTTGCCAATTCATTGTCTGTGCACCAAACCAAAAACGTCTTTTGCCAATTACCAACCAACCCTGCTCGACATGTTTCAAGCGGTATTCAATTTTTTTAATTTGCCAATCTAAATCTGATATCGCATTTGAAAGTTCAGATACTGACAATGTATCGTCGTCGATCATGCCATTATTTGGAATTGCCCAATCTAAAGTCATGGTGACTAGTGATGATTTTTCATCTATATGGGCAGAACACGTAGCACTAGAGGACGTTGGAAGAAGAGTATTATTTCTTGATTCCATATTTGCCTCATCGTCGCCACTTTGTACGGCGGTACTGTACCAGTCCAATGCGATGTTGAGGAACGAGTTGGTTGTGTCCCATTCACTTGAGCATTTTGGCTCCAACCCTACTGCGCCAGTAAGAACAATAAAATTCAGTATTACCAAATAAAGCATGATGTACATTCAGTAACAAGATGTCTTGCCTGATAAATATTATTAGAAGTGGACGCATTGACGACTGATAAAAATGTGCATGCTTTTTTCGATCGAGCATTTATATTGATAGTGCACAATCGATGTGTCGTGTATAGAATAAGGCTACTTACTGTTCTATTTGTTATCGCCGAAATTTGCTATTACCGAAAGCATCAACTTTGTTTTAGCGAGGCATGGCCGTGTCAAGATATATCTCACCCTTCCTGTACAGAAATGTACAGGTTAATACACGACCCCAATTTCGCATCCCGGCATTGTCAAAATATTGCTGTAAACTTCCATTGGCATGGTCTCGCTGGGTTAAATCAAGTATCTGAAGTACGTGTAAATCTATAATGCAATAGTTTATTATTATTTATTATTTTCACAATGACCTTTGAAACTGATACACATGGCTTCTCGCTTGTCGTGTCGGTCATAGAAAACTTAATATGTATGAATGTGGTCAGCGCCGGAAGGAACCATTAAACAATATAAGCACGTGCTTAAGGCACCAAGCAAAAGGGGGCACCACAGAAATTTTTATAGCTGAATTTGCAATTGTGCATCAGTGTTGGTAAGACGGAACAGACTTGAAAATATTCGCATTCTTCCTATTTAGGTATCGTTAATCTTCTCTTTTATGATGTTTTTCGAAATATCTCCAAAATCATGTAAAATATTCATATCTTGGCCATCAATTAGTAATGAACACTCAAAATTACTTATTAGACACGAAATGGACTTATGGATCGTTTTGTTAAATTGAGTTTCGTGTTTTTCTTCTTGCTGTTTTATTTATCGTTTTGGAGAAATCTGTTTTCTCTTAAAACGACGGGACCAATTGCTTGTTGGCTAAAGATTGTTGTTTCCGCTAGAACTATAGGCTATTTATTTTTCAAAAAAATGTTTTGGGTCCAATGGTATTTGTTTTCAATCCCATGTTATACTAACGGCATCATTAAAATTTACGCGATCGCATTTCTGAGTCTGCAAAGTCGGGAATGTTTTTATATGGGAGAGTTTTTTGGTATGGAAATTGAATTTTTACATCCCTCACTGATACCAGATGGTTGGCGATTTTAAACTTTTTTCTCAAAAAGCAGTGAAATGTACAAGTCACAAAACAAAGATGCTAGAATAGATGCAAATAATATGCAAGAGCTAGAATTTGTTTTCGTGTTATCGTTTCAGAAGGAATTTTCACAGAATATTTCAAAACAAACACGTGCAGATCCTAATGTATTATTACGCTATTATTCGCTGCGATGCAGCTGTAACGGAAATACTACCAGGTGTGGATTGCAAGCCAGTTCCAACTCGTAAACGTATCAGAAATAATTTGCTCAATTAAGGAGATGCAGCAGATTTATATGTGAATGGCAGAGACTAATTTCATATCACCTCATTTTGCGCAATTGTTGACTATTTTGTAACTGCAATGAAGAAAAGAGGATAGATATAAAGTAAAATTGCAAAAGTACGATTTTACCCAATGATGTACCGCTACAACCAAATGTCTCTTTATCTGTTGACAAGAACGGGTATTGGCAGTGTTGTCAAAAGCTTATTGATACTTACCCAGTGAATTTCAACAGTAATTTCTCAATTCCAGCAGTTTCATTCACATGTGCTCTCTAGCTAGCTCTTTGTTAGTTTTGTTTATATTTCAACTATAACTTTTGTGTGGTTTATAATGTAATGTACAATGTGTTTTACGTTAAGTTATTAGGATTTGAGCAAAATTTATCAATTGTCAATCAAAATTTAAAAATTATCAGAAGACCTGAAAATGTTCGCTGTGTTTTTGTTGTTTCTGATTATATTTTAAATCACACATAAGGGGGCACCAAAGTGCTTAGGGCACTAATGGGGCATAATCCGCCCCTGAATGTGGTGTCCCCTAGGGTTCCACGATTGGCCCGCTGTTATTTTTATGCTACATAAACGATCTACCTTTGGCATCTGCATTTTATCCGACATTGTTTGCCGATGATACTTCTCTGCTAAAATCAGCATCCTATGGTTCAGAACTCCAAACTGTGGTGAATAATGAACTCCAGAAGGTTGATAATTGGCTTAAAGCGAACAAATTCTTCCTAAATTATTCGAAAACCAAATTTATGTTGTTCTGTAATAAAAAGCACGCTATTTCCACACTTAAAATTGAATTAGCAGTTACATTATGGAACACACAAAAACAATTAAATATTTGGGAATTAGATTTGGTGACAAACTGAGTTGGAAGCTACATATTGTCCAGTTATTCAAGAAATTATCGCAAACTCTTGGAATATTTTACAGGTTAAGGCATACTTTGAATATTAAAACACTTAAATTATTATTATTATATTTTAGTTTATTTCACTCGCGTTTGCAATATGTCCTGCTAAGTTGGGGCTCAGCAACAAGGTCTTCCTCACAGCCAATCCAAGTTCTGCAAAATAAAGTTTTAGGATGCATGGCATTTGCAGAGAAAGTTAGTGTAACTAGTTTGCTGCTCTACCAGTATCAACTCCTACAGCTGTCCGATATGCTTACGCTAAAAATTGCAAAGTTCATGCATCGATATGAAAATGACCTCGTCCCTCCTGTCTTTAAACATTATTTCACCCCATTAAAAAAGTGCAAAATTACTGCACCAGGTCCAAAGAAACAAGGTTTTCTTTACTCCACAAGTGTCCACCGAGGTGGACAAAACATCTCTGAAGTATATGGGTGTACGGCTTTGGGGCAATGTCCCCCCTCAAACTAAAAAAAATTCTGTGCATTATTTCAGTAAGAAACTGAAAAAGTATTTCCTACTAAAATATTCTAACTTGTCCTATTATCTTGAGTTTGATATGCCTTTAAAGGTGTGCTGTAAGTGTGTTGAAGACAGTATTTTAATATTGTATTAATATTACTATAAATTTACCTGTCTCATATAAACACTGCACATTGAGAGTCGTATGTTTTGTTTTCCAACTTTGCATGTGTATAACTGAAAGTTGCTGTACTTTTCTCTTTCTTGTTTTACACAAATTACTGCTCTGTCATCAATCTGATGAATATTATGTTTAACTTTGAAAGCCATTGTTACTGATATTTGTATCTTTTGATTATTATTGCTGAATCTGTGATAATCTGATTGCCCTATTATTATTTTTTATTTCTCCATGAAATTGAGCATAAAATCTCTCTTTCTCTGATCCGTATGATACTGTTTATTATACTGTAATTACCTTTTTATGTCATTAGAAGTTATTGTGTCATAACTGATGAACTGCATATTAATTGCATATTTAATTGTGAATCATACAATAATATTCCAGTTCTTTTTCAAGTATGTATGGGGGCTATGCCACGTGACCCTACAGGACAATTACAGAAATTTTGCATATTGTTATATACAATATATTTTTACATTGCCAGCTACATGTTTTGTATTATTGTCCAATCAGTTGCTTTATGGGGTTTGAACAAAACTGCACAAAAGTTACATACTTACTTATTGGATATAAAATATATCTATATTAAAATATAGCGCGACTCTACTGGGCAGCGAATCCACCATGCATTAACATTTCATTGTGTTGTAAATTGTCAATCTGGTACAGCGGGAGCCATCAATATTTTCTGGTGCAGTAACTGAAGGACCCCTCTATGTGCCACTCAAGTTGCTCAATGTAACACTGTAATTCCATGACGATAATGTGCACATTGTCAATGACTCTATAGGACGTGACACTACTGGATATTATTCCACTTCGGAGCAGCGGCCTCAATCATGTCTTAAAATTCTAACAACAAATCGTTAAATAGGGAAAGACATGTCCTACAGCATTGCAACACACCTAATCTTCATTAACTTAAGTCCAGTGCGTCTTTTTGAAATGAATAACTGTACCAAACAATCAAACACTTTTTGTTTCGAGTCATCACAGAAAATGTCAATTATATTAAAATTTCTACATTTCAGGCCATTTTGTGTAAACCATCAAAAACCTTGGTGACATTTTAACTTTTTCCATGAAATGAATGCAGTCCAATAAAATTCTAGTGTCTTTTGATATAAAAAATACAAAACAATTCCTTTTACTGAACTTTTTAAAAATTGATGAAATTCAACATTTGCTTGGAATGGCCCATAAATACTAATGAATGTTGGTAGCCTTTTTGTAAATTAATTTAATAACCTTTTTATATTGATAAAAATCATTGTGTAAAAAAGTGATTAACTGCATTATTAATTGCATATTTAATTGTGCATATTTAACTGTGGACCATACATTAATTAATATTCCATTTCTCAAGTATGTATTAATACTTATGAATGTTGGTAGCCAATATACAGTATTCAGTGATTGTCGCTGTTTTTTTCTATTTCGTAAATTAATTTCTTAACTTTTTTGTATCGTTAAAATTAATTATGTAATAAGCGATGAAATGCATATTCAATTCTGGATCATACAATAATATTCCAGTCTATTTCAAGTAATGACCTTCTTATATTGAAGCCCACTATGTAACAAGTGAACTGTATACTTAATTGAGAATCGTATAATAATATTCCAGTGAATATTACTATTTTTTCCCTATATTCTTCTCGTGAACTAATTAATGTGTCAAATGATACTTTTACATCACGCGCTCGGTCTATTGGCTGAATCTGTTATGATATTATTTTCTCGTCCCTATTTTTCCATTTTTGATCCCGGTCTGTGTCCAATAATGAAAATTCTTTTTGTGAAAATCTTTCCGTTGGACATGTCCGGCTTCAATCAATACATGACCTCGCAAAATCCTAAATTGCCTCTAATAGCTTCCATAATACCATCGAATTGCCGACTTATTCACTCATTTCTTTATCTTATTTATATTTTATACATTTATATTCAATCTCATTTGCATCCACCTATGGTACCATATTATGCCGTGACGAGCGTATTATACAGCTTATATATACACAATGGCCGGGAGCCTAGATGGCCCTAATCGGTCATGCACACCGACCCGCACAAAGCAATAACCAATCACTGTCATTACTGCTGAAATATTTTTCATTATTGTATTATGTTTATAATAGTGTTGACTTTGTTTTGTGGCAATAACTCCATCTCTCTGTACGTGATAAGTTCAGAATGTTTGTTAGTTTTTCAAGTCGTCGACGATATATTTTTTGTGTCGTATAATTGTTAGGGTTGTAGTTGTTGTAGTGAAAATTATTTACTGTAACTAATGAAACAATCTTTATTTCGTAACCAAATATGAAGAAACCGCTTGATGGCTATTACTTTTATTTATTCACAATGTTTTTCTGGGTCCCGTGGACCCCAATATCTTCCTGTAAATTTTGATATTATATACTTCTTATAGCCTACCTTTATATTGAACTCAGTGTCAAAATATTTGAGTTTGCTCTCTTATGTTCAACTTCTCCATGTTTATTCTATTTAAAGGTATCTGAGGTAATATGTTTAGATGCTGTGTATTTGAGGCTTATAGACTTTATCGTGTATTGTTTCTTATGAAAAAAATAAAAATACCTTCTCGATATATCCGTCCAAGCTTATCATTTAAATTCTATTTTAAACCAATAAATTATCAACCACTTTTTATTTAACTTCCTCACTATCACTCCGATCTTTACTAAGCCAAATTTATGCCTTGTATATACTTTCATGATGTCATAAAAAATTCAATACTCTATTGTTTAGGCGTTTTATACAGTGTCATCCAATAATTGTGAATTATATGTATAGCAGTGAATATTGGGGGGGGGGGGGGGGGGGAGTTTATGACCATATATAAATATATTCATACTTGTATGGCCTTATCGCTTCATTTAATCGCTTCACATTACATTTTTTTTTATTATAATTTTGCTTCGGTTTACGATCATCTCTGGTTGACGGAAAATCTTCATCTTATTCTCTCTATATTACAGGCAAGCTAGCGAAGGGCCGTAGGACCTTTCCCAGGCAGCACCATGTAGGGGACAGTAGAATCAAGCTGTATGGTTCGAGTTATTACACATGTTTTTATTCAAGTTAAAATTTACGCGCGTAGTCATACGTGACTGATGGTGAGTCAGCAATGGATGAATGTCCCTTCCCTGACAATGTTCTCGTCTGGTCGTTGCGTGATTTAGGGCTGTTAGATGCGGCATCATTATCAGAAGCTCGCCCTGGACATCAAAAAAGGTTGGCACACCCAGCTATCTATAAATAAAATGCGTTTTTTTACCTATTGTGCGTATTTTGCCTTCTTATATGACACGCAACTAACCTTCGAACTGTTTGAAAAATTGTCTTTCTTGGTGTTGAAGGCATAAAAGCGTGGTTGTCAAGTGATCATATATTTAATCTTCCGCGCAAATAATTGGAAAACTTTTGTGAAACAAGCGTAAACGTGTATTTTAGTCAAACTAACATATTCTCGTTCGAACACCCCTGTGAAGCGAAATTCCTTTTGCGTATCAAAATATTGCATTATTGGGCCTAGGTGCAAGTCATGTTTTTGTCTATTCCATCCGTTTCAGTAGTTTGATGCGTACATTTATATCTTACCCACCCGGCGATGTAGACAGTTGAAAAACACTGCTATTGCGCACCCAGTCATGTTCACTAGTAGCCGCGATTAAAGACTATGAGCGTCTACCGTCACTACACGCTACCTATTTTTTTAAATTATGTTGATGCGGGATGTTCAGCTTCACGCTAATCTGTCCAGATCATCCATCCAGAATGAAACCAATGCACCTTACGGAATATGACAATATATCTCATAAATGTAAAATTCCTATGGCCATAGCATACGTGCGAAAGCACATTTCTTTACAGTCGGGTACGCATATTTAATTTGAATTTGTATAAGAACCTGGATAATTAATTATAAATATAGCTGCCTTATTCGTATTCATATAATTCGCTAAGAGTTTTTGCGGTAAGCAAAATAGCTGATTATATGGTGTCCAATCTAAATAGATGCCCAGAAAAGGTATGTGAACCATCTACGCAAACGTGTACTCTAAACATCCCGTGAGTTGTTTTTAGGACATGAATGCCACTAAAAATTCACAGAAGAGTGGTCATTTCAACTTGGGGTATATTCTAAAAATGACACCAACTAATTTGTAGCGGTATATCTCGTTCTGAACTAATTCGGAAATTTGGGTTCAATCATACTCATGTTAGATTGGTACAGCAAACACTGGTTGTAGCTAAATCGCGTTTGAGCTGCACCAATTTTTGCCTTGTATAGATTAGATGCTGAGGTGAAGTTCAACAAATTTTCTCGAAGTTTTCTGGCGAAAGTTCCATATATGCGTGGTATTATAAATGTCAAAACTAGTTCCAGACAACTTTATGCATTCTGAATAAACATCATATTAATTAAATAATGATGAATATAAGTGATATTAATAATAAATATATAATAAGCTCTACTTTAATATATCTTGTTTGTTTTCCACTCCCCTGAGGTATTAATATTTTATTTGAAATCGATATAGAATAGTGAGATCGTGTGGAAATATTTTGTGATTATTGATGAAAGACTTGGAACTGAATTATAATGAATCTTTTTCGCATATGACTCGAAATTTATTTGAGCATATTTGATCTTCAACTGCACCCCGCAGTTTCTTTTTGTTTTCACGCTGCCAAAATAAAGTTGCACAATCTTCTCGTATTTTCTTCCGTTTACTGCGTCTGGGTATTTCGTCGGAACTAGCGTACGTCCCATCTGACCATATCCATGTGCCTTCGTTTTTAATATCATTCAGCCCAATCCAATAAACTGCATTCTTAAGTTGAACTATGGATATAATTTCGCCCTTTTCCTCGTGATCACGCATTCCCTTCGAGAGGAGTCTTCCACCTTTATACATACATTCATAATATGCCGCTTGCCAAGTCATTTCATGTGCACCAAACCAAAAACGTCTTTTGCCAATTACCAACCAACCCTGCTCAACATGATTTAAACGGTTTTCAATTTCCTTAATTTGCGAATCGAAATTTACTGACAATGTATCTTCGTCAATCATAGCATTATCTGGACTTTCCCAATCTAAAGTCATGGTGACTAGTGATGATTTCTCATCCATATGAGCAGAACACGTAGGACTAGATGACGCTTGGAGAATCTTATTATTGTCTGATTCCATATTTGTCTTGTCGCTGTCACTTTGTGCGACGTTACTGCTCCAGTCCAAAGCGATTTTGAGGAACGAGTTGGTTGTGTCCCATTCACTTGAGCATTTTGGATCAAGCCCTACTGTGCCAGTAACAACAATAAAATTCAGTATTACTAAGTGAAACATCATGTTCAGTAACAAGATGTACGCCTGCCTAGAAGTGAAGCCAGTGACAACTGCTAATAATGTGCATGTTTTTTTTGATCGCACATTTATATTGGCAGTACACAGTGTACATATCATTGGATGTGTCGTGCATAGAATAGGTTCACTTACTGTTGTATTTGTTATTGCCAACAAAGGCGTAAATCTATGATCGAAAGTATCACCTTTGTTTAAAAGAGGTATGGTCGTGTCATGCTATATCTAAGCCTTCCTGTACAAGAATATACAAGCTATTACACGGCCCCGATTCGCATCCCAGCATTGTCAAAATGAACTTTTCGAGGCATGGTCTCTCTCAGTTAAATCAAGTGTCTAAAGTACATGCAAAACAAAAATGTGTTTGTTTATTATTTTAATGATATCTTGTGTATCTATCTATCTTGTGTACAAAACCCCAGCCAACGCTCAAAATAAGAAAATTACTAATTATCCAGTCAGGGTTAGAACTTCAGACTGCGCTAGAAATTCAACTCGTTTTTTAGGTCATCCTCATTTTATCTGTTTTGCGTTTATTGTTGGAGGCTTTGAGTTTATTGTAGTTGTTGAGAAAAAAAATCACTTTTCTTTGCAATTTATGAACCATTCTATTTTCAATATTTAAAGATGTACGAAGTCGCTAGAAGACTAGTACTTCCTTTCGAATCACTCTGAGTCCTACAGGGCCCGATATTTTTACCTTGGGTATATTTCAATGTTTTTATATTTCTTGGACACACGTTCAAATTCACCTTCATACAAAAACATTTCAGAATTGCTCTTTTGCCCAACATTCAATTGGTTGTGCATGGTTCTTTACGCTACGGCTAACATATATTTGATATGTGCTCCCTTGTCTAGGCATTTGCTTTATTTATTTTCGAGCTATTGAAATAATTTTTCAAAAAAGGAAATATTTTCAACATTAATATTGCATCATTACATTAGTACAATTCCACCGAATATCTTAAAGATTATTATAAGACGTAATTTCTTGCAAATTTTAAAACTTCATCCTTCAAGCCAAGGCTGTGATGTCTTGCGTATTGCCATATAACTAATAAACAAATATATATATTACAGTTCATTATACAGCAAAATGTGGTATCGTATACTCCAAAATACAATAAGCGCGCGCAACGTATATATTTACGGTAAAACCAACGAGCAATTATGACATCATAATCACAAATCTAGTCAGTGTGAAAACAACAAGCTATAACGTAAATGCACAACAAATGTAATAATTATTAATTTTAAATGGTGCTCCAGAAGTATGCGCACATCCCGAATCCTAACCGGTCGGGTACACACATACTAAGTTCAGGTTGTGCGCCATCTTGGTGCGCATACTTTTGGAGGTCCTTTTAAATTATCATTTTGATGGGTAAACTAAACCAAATTATACTACATTGTTGATAGATCGGGGTTTGTCTGGCAATTATTGCAAAATTCGTGATCTTTCGTTAGCATTAATATCTTTATTCGAATGGCTAGACGTGTCGCTAAATAACGCACTCTTAGTCTGAGACGTGCGAAGTCTATAATGAGTCAAATCTCTTAGTTTAAAAATGGTAAAGGTGATAAAGTGAATCACGCAAGCCCCTACCGTGACTAAACCTAATGAAACTACTATTGAAATTTCAGGACTCTTTGTCCAGTCTAGTGTGCCTGAGTATTTCATAGGTCGAATGCCAATTAGGTGTAGTATCACGGTAAACAAAGTATACACTGCCCCATACAAAGAAACATAAACAAAATGAAGATATCGAGTAGGCACTCTGCTTAGTAGGTGATCCATTGTCATCAACACAGAATTCATGATATGTTGGTGAGTATTCACGGCGATTGAATACATCCTGTTATCGGAGAAGCACCAATATGATATGGTCACAATATAAGAAACTCCGGACGCTGCTGTCATTACCACCCAGCATAAATTGTGGAACCATTTAATATCATCTGGAATAAAGATAATCATTTTGTTATTTGTGTTTCTAAACTTTATTAGGTTGAAATAAAATAGTGGTTTTTGATTTCAACTCACTTATTTGACAAGTGTTCCCATTACCACAACAGATTGTTCGTTCGAGGTTGTTTTTAAAACAAAAATCGGAATCTTGAATTAGTCCAAACATCGAGACGGCTAATGCCAATCCGAAGTGAACAACGAGGGTCCACTCTCCCCAGCTCGAAAGATGGGTAATATAGTACCCAGGATATGAACTAACGCAAAAGTTGGTGTCATAAATTGCCCAAATCAAACAATATAGAAACATAATCGCTCGATAGACGACAAAATATTCCTTTCTTTCTGTCCACTGCAAAAATGAAAATGATATTCAAGTCTGAGTAATTAGTAACACTTCATCGGTAAGCTGTAAATATTCATATACGAGAATGTGGTTATAACGACGGTATCACTCCTAGAATCCCACGGGGGATAATTGGGCACAAGAAGATTTTTGAACCCTTCGCCATTTCAAGGTAATTCACGGGGTTCCCCATAACATTAGTCTTAGATGGCAGTTGTTTAATGTGAAAAATCTTTACCATAAAAAACTGTTGGTAAAATCGCACTATGTGGCATATATTGCGAGGTAATCCAAGTTGAGCAGATTTTTCCATAAACACTTTCTAATCACATCATATGTCTTACTGTTTAAACTCATTTAACGACAGAGTCCAGTTGATTTCATATGGGCATAATCACAGCGATACAATAGATACATTACATTGACATAATTGATATACTCAAGATTTGGAAAAAGTATTTATATGTAATTGTTCTGTAAAATCCTCGAACTATATTAAACAGCACAAGAGTAAAGCGAAAACCCTGTTAGCATAACATGAGTCTCAAGAATTGTAAACAATTTTTGTGCAGACTGCAGATACAAATTAGATATTAGTTACACCAATGAAACAGCATATTAGCTAAACTATTCGTGTCAATTCCTTAACAGTCATACCTGAGACTCGTAAAAATGCTTCGGTGTGACATCAGTGAAACCAAAATGTTTGCATTGAAATTCGTATGTTACGGCTGTTGCCATATTGCACAGACAAACTTCTACTCGACAGGAATCATACGTTGAATAATCACTGTACATGTACGTCACATTGTTGATAAGGGCCAGCTTTACTCAGACCGGAAGTGTGTCATCGGAAGAACTAACTTATAAGTATGGTTGGACAATTGTTGAATATTGAAATATCGTTGCGATGGAATTAGTGACAAAAATAATCGTGTTAAAGGTACAACCAATCAGCAAACTGCTGTGTTCATTTATTGGAAACTTTTGAGAACGCAACTCTTAGAAACCGGGCTAGTATCAGCCTCTTTTCTGCTTTATTGAAAAATTGTTGAAAGCTTCCATGCATTATCAGAAGGAACGTGTTTTATAATAAATACATTCTTTGCACAATGTTATCTCAAACATCGAATATACCATTTTATCACAGTTTCTGAGTATGTTAAAAGCCTAAATTGTATTTCAAAAATAGTATCATATATTCGAAACTGGTGTGTTTACTGTTTTGCATGGCACTTCGGTGAAAAATTTTCATTTAAATCGAATCACACGCTCCCACTCACAACACACACTCAAGTGTTCCCATAACTAGGATCAATTTCTAAAAGCTATCATTACACAGCGCTATTCAAACATATCAGAACTGTGTCCTTTGGTATCATGGACTGGCACGGACAGAACAGGCGATAATTGTAGATTTTAGTTATCTTATTTGATTGCACTTTATAAAAATCTTGCTCGAACAATTTTAAATACGGCGTGATAAGATATAGCTCCTGGTGGCTTACCGATGCAGGCTGCTCATCCAGCCAGGTTCTCTGCGGATGACAAGTTTTCGAAGCAAAGGATCGTCTGTAAGTGACTTTTTGGACTATTACAACAACCAAAGCCACCGGTGTGAAAGCAGGGGTTCAATAAAAATATTAATATAGACTAAAATCTGAACAAATTCTTAACTGCAGAATTGGAGAAAAGCTCACAGTATTTTGTATGTAGCCTAGCCTAGATTTTGAAATGAATTTGTATTGTCATATTATAAAAAAAAAATACTACCGTACGGTATCTTATATTCTGTCATATCTTTAATCTAAAATTTGTATGGTAATATTTATTGTTTTATCGCATTTTAATATTGTATGATTTTGCCTAAAATAACTGATTGATAGCCTAATTTAATTTATCAAGTGGGCTCAGTATTAGTGGTCTTTTGTGTCTCTGAAAATGATATGACAAAGAATTTAAATAGACCGTGATGTGTGAGTTAGTGACATACTAATAAAAATTACAGTGTTTTATTATATTATCTTATATGACATTAGACTTTTTTGTTCAAATCCCATTGTTTTACTCGGAAGATTTTTTAAAGTCACTTTATCATCAGCAATGCCCAATCAGTTTGGTTATTTAGGGCTCTTGAGTCTTGACCAGTGATTCTCAAACTAGGTTTGAGAGCCGCATGCGGCTCTCAGCAACCTTTCCTGCGGCTCTCGTTAATGCTTTAAAAATTAATTATTTTAAAAAAAAAAATGTTCATTGAAAACTAATCATTGACTCGAAATTAAAATGCTGAGGTCTATTAGTCGAATGGATTCCCCCATGTTTATTTGCGTAGTGACTAACCTACAAGATGCAATAGTGACGCAACAGTGAGCGTTTTCACGGCCACTCGGACACTTTTCACTTGGAAAGATTTTAGACATGGCTGTAATCATTGGCTTGCTTCCGTGGATTTTGAGTGTTTGTTGCATTCCCGGATATTATGCATAAATCAAATAACTCAATAATTATTTTAATTCTAGAGCATTTTAATTTTGTTCCAGTAATCGAAAATAGTCCCGGAATATCTGGCGATCATCTCAAGCAGCTACTGCACTTTGCATCCTCCACGATTACGACCCGCTTTGACAAACTTATTAGAAATCAAAGCTGAATTAATTGGCTGTTAGTCTAGGGCGGGCAGAATCGAATCTTTTTTCGAATCGAATAATTTGAATATTTTTTTATACATAACAAGGATCCAGAACGTCGGAGGTCGATTCGATACACCATTTAGAAATTGATAGAAACATCGAAAAGTCCACAAAAAAGCGTTTTTTTTACTGGTTAAAGGTTAATTATATCATATTCGCTGATTGTCACTACGATCGTATTGGCGGCGATATCCTAAAGTTGGTATTTTATATTCCCGCCCTTTCTCGTTTTTTGCAAGAATAAGCGGTCGGCGAATTTCGAAGTTTCATATTTCTAATATCCCCTTGCGTTCACATCAGCGACAGCTGTTGAATACATTAAGGGCTGATTTCAAAACCAAATTAATTTTATTCTGAGTTTTATCCTCTGCCTTGGATTTGATCTTCCTTATCACCGCTTGTAACTTAAACGTGTCTGTTTAAAGTGAACGGTAACCGAAATGCAGATGTTTAAAGGATAATTGAGTTCTCATGCTTTTCTATGGTGTTCGTGTTATTTTAGTATTAGATAGATAAACCTAGCAAATTTACGATTGCGTGAATCCTGAGTGTTGATTTAAAATAGCGATTAAATAAATTGGCAATAAAGGCATTTCTAAGCCTTCGTGCCTAATAGAGGGCCAGACGCTAATTATACCTAATTCCTTCAAGTTTTAACATTTTTTTTTTCAGCAAAACAACACCCCGATGGTTATTATAGCTAAAATACTTACTGAGTAATGCTCAATTTTCTTTACGGAATTTGCAAATTCAGCACTTCACCTAATGATTTTGATTATGTCATGCTATAAAGCTTAATTATTACCACCTAATGCTTCAAAATTTACCAATTGTAATCATTTTCGATGATAATAGACGCAACAATTCGTGAACGAGTCAGTGTGCATTGTCACAACGAAATTCACTTTGATTTTACGTTCTACTCCTGGCTCAACGGCCATGCATGGTCGATTACAATGTTACATATTCAAAACATTACTTGGCCAAGGATGGAAGGGATCAATAAAGAGCTAATACAAAGTGCTTTAAAGATAGTAGGACATGACATTTCTTATCTGGTTACAACTTAATGAGTATTTTTCATACAAGTAACTCATACCAGCTTTTGAAAAATCTTTTGGTCATTTTTAAATCCATGCTATTTACTTAACTAGAGTTTTCTAACGACCTAAAATAGCCTTTTTCACAATGAAACGCCGAAAAGTCATTTTAACATTCAATTTCAATCAACTTTATGTTCGGTAATGCAAGAAACGGCTAATGACATGACACCAAGCATGTGGAGTTTAAAATCTGGGAAATTTATTTTAAATACCTAATCTGGTTTGATGTTTATAAATTTACGGAACGGTCGGTACGTTTTTTTTTTGCAAAAAAAATGATTTGAATTGATACGTTAAGTGCAAAGATAAGCATATAACACAAAGACAACGATTTTTTTTCTGATAGCGAGCGCCGTTGGGAAATCTCGCACAAATAACGATTGAGTTGGAGACGCGCGAGTTCGGTGTCCGAGCAGAGCGGCGCAGGTCACGTGGTACCGGATATTCGAATAGTAAAATGTCAATCGAATATTTTATTATTCGAATATTTTGACCAGACCTAGTTGTTACGTGTGTTGTTGTTACGATGACTTGGTATTTTAAATACGCGCTTAAGGTTTGTTGCTATTTTACCTCGCGTTGTATTTGTGCGGCTCTTCATAACTTTGAGGTCTGAAATGCGGCTCCAGAACTAAAAAAGTTTGAGAACCACTGGTCTTGACTATCCTCACCAATTTATCACATTACATTTCACACATTACATTTACATTTTGAATTGGTCATTATTAGCTTAAATTTTAAGAAGTACAATACATTCGCGTATTTTTTGTTTGTTCATTTCTGACGCAGGCCTCGTTTATCTAGGTTTGTGTTTTCTGTGTGTAGGTGGGGGAGCGGGCACATGATATTTCTCATGTTTTAAATTTTAAAGGTTTTGCTCGCTCTCCAGGATTCTTCATTTTAATTAGTGTAGATTGTGGAATTTTAAAAATAAAATATCGGTACCCCCGTAGTATGTGAACCAAGATGACGGACACCGGAACGTAGTATGTGTACGTACAAATACTACGAAGTCACTTGGCTAGTCTCCGAACTCGTAATAGAACTAAAATAATGCAAATTGGAATAAAATTATGGCATAACCCTATTTTGGTTCACATACTACGCTCCGGTATCCGCCATCTTGATTCGCGTACTACTGGAGTACCGAAATATCTATATCTATCCATAAGATGTTTCACCTAGAACGGCACAGAATTCAATATTCAAACTTACATCGGAACAATCCTTATTGATCGGAAGTACGAAATAAAGTTGTTTTGCTTACAAACTGAGCAATGTCGACTAAATGGTTATTTACAAAAAATTGGATGCCATCAAGACGCACTACGCTCATTCTGAAGAAAAATGTTCCCCATTTAATTTTATTTTACAATAATCGTTTCATTATTCAACGAACTAATTTACTAAAATTATGTACCGATTCCGATGAATCATTTAGACTTCAACATTTATTAAGAATTTTATTTTATATGCTTAAATTTGTCGAATCTACTGATAGGTCCATTTAATACCAACAAATGAATGTTTGCAAATCGCCTCCTTTAGGTGAGAAATAGCCTATCACGACCTGGTGCAATAAGCTTTGTTTGAGCTGCGAGCACCATGCGACTCCTAACACACACTTCGGCACAGTCAAGTAGCGAAGACGCACAGACTTCACTGGTGCTGATATGTGCCGATCGGCCTCAACTGTAGCGGCGGCGCTTAGTCATTCGTCTCTCTTTTCTGAAGCTCTATCGCCGTCGTCAAAATATCAAACGATTCAAAGAATTCGTATACTAAAAAGTAAGAAAGTGGTTAAATTAAAAAGAACTCAGTCGTCCGCAATTCTTGTATCATTATGCAGCGTGGAGGGAATACCTTCTCTTTTGTACACTCTGCGATCACAGGACTTAAGGAGCCACAGTGGCCAAGTGAGGTGCAGTATCTTAATTCAGTAATTTAACATGTGTACTAGGTATAAGCTAGTAATGTAATAGTAGTAGTGTCCTGATGGTGACGTCAGTATTGAAACGGTCAGACGAGCCTTTAACACTAACTCAATGTAAAAATAGTAAAGCAGCACTTTCTTCTAATTTTTCATTCTCATTTATGCATTACAGTAGTGTGTTAATTATAAAAGGGAACAATCAGTGAACATGTAGCTGTAAGCTGGCTATCTCTTTTCGATTTGGTTACACAATTTAATCTTATAACCTGAATATAACTAATATCATTTTTTTATCATTCTTTCAGCATTTATTCTGTTTATGGATATTGCGAATATATGAAATTTATAAAATCTGGGATGTCACGACTAGCTATAAATTCAAAAAGTTAGAACATTTAAAAGTGTGTGATTTTTGCCTTGCATTTTAATTTCTGGAAGACATTTCTTTAGTCAAAATAGCTGTAATAAGTTTACTAATTACAATTTTAATTCCAGTTTTCCTGGAGGTCAATTTGATGAGAGTGACAGAGATGTGATTCATACTGCAATCAGAGAAACGGAAGAGGAAATTGGCATACCACAATCTTCAATCGATGTTTGGGAGGTTTTGCCACCAATTGGGAGGGTAAAATGCATATTTAATTGGCTTCCTACTTAAAAGGCTTTTTGTGTGTAAGCTTACAATCAATATTTTTAGTATTACATGAACCCAATCCATCCAGTTGTTGGGAACCTTGGCAGCGTAACAGTTGATAATCTCATGATAAACGATTCCGAGGTGAGTACTATGAAATTTCTTGATATATCGTTGAGATTTCATGTACCTGTTTATTAATATGATAAAATTTTATTTTCAGGTCTCTAAGGTATTCACTGTTCCATTAGAATATCTATGTTGTCGTGATAATATAAAGCAAACAAGTTTTCGTCCTCCTGTGGATTCCGCCTATGCACTACCATATATTTTGCCAGTGTTCACTACAAAACCTAGGATATGGGGACTGACAGCTGTAGCAACAGAGTTATTTCTTTCCACTATGTATCCTGGTATATTTCCTAGGCCTGTTGGTAAATTCTTACCAAGGTAGCAAAGACTCGCCTTTTCTTCTTCGTATTGCTATATGGTAAAAACCTTTTAATCATTATCTTACCGTAATTAGTGCATTTTACTGTTTTATCTGCACAATTAAAATTATATTACTACTTATTTATATGTTAATTTAAGTTTTCAAGTGTGTCGATAATTTCAAAAATGGTGAAGTGATCACCTGTTTTTTTAGTATTGCTGAGGTTTTAAATTTGAAGAACATATTCATTGCCTTATCTGCTTTTTCAGGAATTGAAGTTCATATGCTTTTTTGTAAAATATATACTTGTAAGTATATTTGACATCATGCTCCTCAGGGAATATTTTCGCTATGTATAAAACATGGAGAGATATTCTCTGTTCAAAAGTTTTAAATGCAAACAATTTAACTACCATCTAAATCACTTAGCATGGAGATTTTGTTCAAATCCTTGTTTTTGAGAATTTTATATTGCAGGTGAATATTTATATCTTTATGAGATCTGCCATTAAAAATTGGGGAGTTCTGCTAACAATCCTGATTAACTATGCACTGCAGTTGGGAGACTAGAAAGGTACAAATGCACAACAGTTGCCATAGGAGCCAGACAGATGTGATTGTCAGTATTCGTAATATTGTCACTCTGAAATGGCTGATAGAATGTCATAAATGTTGTGGTTATTGCCAGATTTTGATTGGATGTACTCATATCTCTGGGTGTGTATTGATTGTGTATCTAAAATCGGTAAATAAAGCATATTTATTAAAATCCACTTAGTACGATTTTATTTGAGCACATAAATCAGTAAATAAAGAATTGTTAATCGCAATGATGTTTGAGTTCAAACATAAGAATAAGTGCTTTTTTATAATAATAAAATAATCTCAACATTGCAGTCCTAATAGAAAAAAAAAGTGAAGGTAAATTTAAGTTCAGATCTAGTCTATTCAGGAAGAAGGTGGTGTTACTGTTGGTGGATATTCCGGTGCCATGTTGAATGGAGTTCTTCTCAACCACAGATCTTTGTTTAGCTAGATGAGAAAAAAGTGAGTGTGTTACTTGGTTAGTACTAATATCCATGTATTTTTGGGAAACAAAGATAAGTTACCGGTAGTTTACAACATATTACCAGTAAAGTAGGGCTGGGCATTTCGAATCGAATGGTAAATTATTCAAATCACCGCCATCTTGTTTTTTCCCTCTCCGCCAATGGTCGAGGTAAATTTTTCATTGAAGCCATATTTTTTCAACACGATTCTGACATAGGACTCTTTTCTGTAGTGGAGTTATTGATGAAAACCTGTTTTTTATTGTCTGTGAATGTTCAGCAATCTGAGTGATGCATTTCACGTTTCCAGTAAGTTATGTGTCTGGAGGACCCAATAAAACAACAAAGTTACATACAATGAGATATCTCTCAAGTATTCGAGATTCAAAAAAATATTCGATTCTGAAATCATCAGGTATTCGAAAATGCCCAGCCCTACAGTATAGTAAAACATCAATCTGCAAGTAATACAATTTCATATTTGACTCAACTTACCTTACTGATTGGATTAAAATGGCTTGAAAGATATTTCGGTGCAGAAGCAAATCTTCTAGGGAAAGCGGTTGAAGGATGTCCTTGGTATGCTTGACCATAATCTGTAGTGTAATGCCCGGACCGTTCTGCTTTTAATTCTGCAATCCACTTGTCCTTCATTTTACTGTGAAGACCATAGTTTGTTGGTTTTCCTGTAATCCAAAATTTTTATGAAGTCTCATTGCTAGTCATTATTTTAGAGAATAGTTTAAACCTCTTGTCCAACCATTTCTTGTCACAAAAGTATAGTTAAATTTTAGTGTTTCAGTTCAATTCATCCAATATATAGGTAGAAAAAAGATCACCTATATATTTTCACGTTTGATAAGGGGCAATTCTCTAAAGTTAATGAATACTTCATCCCCAGATTTCACCTAGAGCCTATTAGCAATATTCCATAAAAATGATATCTTAACCTACCTTGCATAGGATAATCAGATCTTTCAGGAGCCCAGGCGAGTTTGTGTCCATCCCATTTACGTACATCTGGTAGCCTGTCATTTTCATCCCTCATTCTCTTATTAAATTGTTCATCATACCATGATATTAAGTTGTTGCTGTATCTGAAAAAGTTATGAAAGCATACTTAAGACTTAATGATCTGACATGAGCTTTAAAACTTTAATCTCTACAGTGATTTCTCAAAATTTTTACTAAGAAGTAATGAAAATATTGTAAAATTCATGAAAAGTTTGAATTATGAAATGTTTGCTGTGACTGTTGTGATGTAGGTAAAAAACATATACAAGTGTACAATAATCTTTCTTATAGCTGAACTGGCAATGCTATGTACAGTAAGTGCCCATGCAACTGTGAATGTAGGTCGTACGTTTTCCCATGATGAGTGAAAAGATTTTCTTTGCGGAGTCCTTCATTTCTCATTAATGCAGAACGTCGAATTGTGACATCAGGCTTGTGATTTTTATACAAACGAAAATCAGTTAAATGTGTGCTTGTATTTGAATGTGTTCCTCGTTGAAACTGAAAACAAAAATTATTCTGTAGGAATGCAGAATTTAGATATTCGATATTGCGTTAGATGCATCAATTCATATTTGAGTAACTAACCTGTTTTCTTTCTTCACACCAATTTCCTATAAGTGTATTGTTCGAAAACCGCTGCTCAATTCGCCATCCCGGCATGTGCCATTTCATTGCTTCACCTTGCTGCATACTGGTGATTCGGATTACTCACAAAAAACTTTTGCAGAATGAAATGGTTTTCTTATATTATTTAATAGTTCATAATACAGTTTCACTCCTTTGCACTAGATAAGTTCTGTTTATATAAATTTATAAGATAATAGGCTACAGTCTGGAATTGGAGACACTATAGCAACGTTGCTAAGGCCAAAAATCTCGAAAATATTTTAAAGGAAGGAAGGGGGCCAGGTTGGCTCCAATAATTGGTCATAATATTCAGATGCATGAGGTTATTAGCAAGGTGTAGCGGAAAAATATCGTAAAAAACGTGGATATGGGGAAATAATAAATGGTTGACTAAGAACTCACAACGGACGATTTAAGAAGCCTTGCATCAGCGCTGCTAAGCAATGCTTCCAAACAAGAAATTTGATAGCCGGGTCAGAAATATCGAAACAAATTTCATTTGTTGCCAATGGAACCTCTCGCGCTCATTAGCAGATTCTTCAAGAGTCCAAACAGGTCAAGGAAACCCTCAACATCTCTGAACCTTTTGCTTTAGCGTCCTGCAAGACTTGCTAAAGGCCCGTTGTCAAGGCCTTTGCCGCCACCTGGTGGGAAATGTTCTCAAGTAAAAATGTACCGATACCACCTTTTTCTCCAATATTTCAAAAATCTGATACCGATAATATGTAATTATCTTCTTGGTTGTATGTGACAGACGAGATAACATAGTTGTCTTCGAGCTGTATACATGAGCACGACATTATAAAAGCTCAAAGAACAGGTATTTCGGAACATGAAACATAAATTGATATAGGATTTACATATTTGGCGATAGTATTCCTAACGCTTAGCACGATGAGCCACACTACTCGCGGTTAAAAGTACTGGAATTTCTCGCATATGACCATTCCCGCATGGGATTCGAACCCACGAAGAGTAATCAGAAGTGCGGTGGCGAGCGTATTCCTAACGCTTAGCACGATGAGCCACACTACTCGCGGTTAAAAGTACTTGAAATTATTACATCGCAAATTGCTTTGCAACTTAGTACGTATGCAATAGTGTGCCTCAACGCTCTCATTAAATAAACAAATCGTGGTAGTTTTCCGCAGACGTTTCGATGCGCCCATTCGCGTGAAATCGCCGGGTTTTATTAGTTCGATCCCAATAAGCTATGCACTTCGAAAAAAAAAATTTCAAAGTACCGTATTACTCATTCCTTTTACACAATTGTGGTATTCTTAAGAATGGTTCTCATATTACATCTCAATGATGCTTCTGACGAACATCGACTTCCTTGTATCTGTTTTTTCGTGATATTGGCCAATCAGGAAGAGGTTAACGATGACGTAACAATTACAATTTTGGCAGTCTCCTTTTCCGCATAAATAGTTTTATTTTGACTTCTTGAGCAGAAAACCAGACAAAAAAACAATAGCCAAAAACAAATAAATGAACGTTAAAAATAAATAGATTTATAAATAAGTTTATTCTGACTCCGTAAGCAGAATAACAGACAATAAAACAATAGGTAAAAACAAATAAATGAACGTTAGTCGTTTCGTGAGTCGTTCAGAGTGATAAAGTAGCCTATGGACCTTTCCCCGAGCATCGACTTCTTTGTTTACTTCGTGACATGAGCCAATCAGCAATACACAAAACGTGACGTAACAATGTCCCATTTTCCCGTCCGCTCAGACACTTTTTTCACTCAGACAGATTTTCAGGCGTGGTCGTAAACATTGCCTCGTTTTGGCATTTTTGAACTCTATTCGTTGGTTTTCATTTGTCTTTCGGAAATTTGAATATAAATCAGATACTTCAATGTTCACTTTATTCTCTTAGAAGTTCTAGTTTAATTGCAGTAATAAAAAACTGGTGTAGAAATAGGGTGATAGACTAGGCTCAAGGCACGGCGGTGTGGCTCAACGGGCTAAGCGTTAGGAATACGCTCGCCACCGCACCTCTGATTACTCTGCGTGGGTTCGCAGGTTCGAATCCCATGCAGGGATGGTTATGTGCGAGAGGATTGCTGGACTCCTCGCCGTCGTTGGGTGGTTCACGTAACCGCTGGTCGGTTACGGCTTCCTCCACCACCAAGTCCATGCTTCCGAAAACAAATAATACAGTAAAACTAATCCCATACCCGACTTGGAATGGTAACTGGACGAGAGGCCGTTGTTCGCCATATAGATGATCCGTCTTATCGGCTTTCCTCTCCCCCGGGATAAATATGTAAATCCTATCCTCCTATCCTTTACCGGTACTTTTAAAAAACAGATTGTTGTATGCGATGAATTATAATGATGGTTTGAAACAAATATCTCATATTACATTCGCCAACTCGCGAAACCATTCTTAAAATAAGCTCCTAAAATTTTGCAATGGTGAAGTATTAGGGTGGCCATATTTTCCAAACCTTAAAAGGAGGACACGTCGTTTGGTAGAACCTCATTTCTGTGCCTGAGATATACATTATATATATCCTAAATTCTCTAGGATTAAATATAAAAGCGACGACAATATCGTTAAAAAACATCCACAGAACAATCAATTTATTTGTCATTAGAGCATGGGTATTTGGCAGTTCCTTCGTGAATATTGTTGAATTATTTTTTTCAATATCGTAGAACCGTAAATATATACTACTACGGTAGAACTGGCTGCAAGAAGTGTCAATCAAATTTAGTGAGTACATTAGCAGCAGACTCAAATGGTTCTTTCGGCCATTGTGGTTGCAGTCAGGCAGTAGTTTATTTTATCACAAACCTGGGAAAACCTTCTTCATTAGATTTGACGTACAATTGTTAGATCTGTAACACTGGTGATGTTTTACACAATGAAACGTCACTCTAGCTCCGGCAAGAGCAACCTTTTCTCCAATATGAGTGGCGCAAAATATAGTCGGTCTCTTTCGCCGATGATGATTCTTCTCTAACAGCTGTTTTATGCTTGAACTCTCAACGTGCAACTGTTGTTAAGCTTGCCGTTATTCGCCACAGAAACGAAAGTGTCATAGACTCATAGCCGTATGTAATGCACTCCGCTTCGCTATCAGTTTATCTTTTCTAAAGCATGGATACTTTTTCCTTAGTTACTGAGTGATAAAGGCATTTCTTTCCGTAATAATTTATTGGGTCTGCTGACGTAAATCGAAACTTTACCATATTGTGAAATACAACGTGAAATGACGTAAAAAATAATTGCAGAACAAAACGATTTTTACGTTATAAACGAGTATGCATTTAATAAGAGTGTGTTTTCTATCACAACTCAATGCATTGCTTGTCATATGTATAATGATATTAAGTCTCTACTTTCTTCCAAATTTTCTTACCATATCAAAAGATATAATTTTAAATATTTTATCTCGTGAAAAAGTAGGACATTTTGGCATTTTAGAGCGTCCTCGGAGGACGCAATTTTTTCAACGAAAAAGGAGGACAAATCCTCCAAAAGGAGGACGTATGGTCACCCTATGAAGTATAGGAAAAAAAAATTTTGGGTCAAAGGTCGGGGAGAGGTAAATATACGTTCCCCGGGCATCCATTTTTTGTTCATGATCAATTAGCAAAAGAGAACAAATGTTCGAGCATTTCGTGGTTTTGCTTGTTGTTTGTCAGTACGGTATTTAGTCCTTTAAAAAAATATTTCATATAGCCCAATGGTCATTAATGTATTCCGAGGAGTTTGTTTTCGTAGCAGTAAATAAAATTTATCCCGAAAGGCTGCGATAGACTTGTCTAAAATGAGCCACCACTATTCACAAACAGCGGGTGGTCAATTGCTTTATCTCAAAGTTATAGTTAGAAACATGTAAACCAGTTTGTACGCGCTAACTTGCGTAAACACTCTCGTGGCAAAGAGTTGTTTTGGGAGGTCAGAGGTCGGAAAAATGCAGGAACAATAAACAAATAGGTCACCTGACTATTTCTGTATTTACATCTGATAAATGATTTAAATAGGAACAATTTGTCGATTCTCTGGCCAGGTGATACTGAAGAATGGGTAGCAAAACCCGAAAACAACCTTTTATTCTTTGGTGTGCTGTAGTATACAATGTATGTATGTTTATTCGTCTCGTAAAGGCAATATAAAAGAATTAGTAATTATAAAAACAGAAAACTGGGACTAGTAGCCTAATCATGTATATTTCAGTATTTTCTAATTTTGTACTTAGTTTGTTTATGTTAGCTTGAATGATATTTGATGTTGGAATATCAAACAATTTTTTTTTTGATTGATCCTTCTAATTTTTTATGTAAGTGGGATCCTTTGTTCAAAATAATCTAAAGCATCGTGTCCACGAAGTTTTGTCATGTCAATATTTCTAACTTACCATGTAAAGAATAATAAATGCTGAAATGATAAGATTCTTGAATACATCAAGTGTTGTGGTATATCAAAAACTAAAGATTTCTGGATTTGGATTTGTTACCGGCTGTTTCATTTTTATACATTGTTTATATCTTAAGTCTGTAAGTAGTCTCGCACATTGAAGGCACTACCATCAAAGGTCATTTTTTGCTGGGCCTATATGTTTTATAACAAATAAATTCCAGAGGGCAATATTTGAAAATTTAAGAAAATTGATGGCATGCTATTGATTGAATTCTAAATATTTGCAAATTTCTAATATTTTATAGGGACTAATCCTAAAAATGACGTCCCATAACAGAAGATATAACTTCAAATATCCGAAGCCTCTTGTTGAGTCTTCTAACAATAGCAGGCTATTGTCTCCAAGAAGACCACAACCATCACCTTCCAAGCGGGAACTAATGATGCAAGAACTTGGATTTGCGGATTTAGATAACGTGACATCAGAAAGCTCGGAAAGTTCTGACATAAGTGATGATGATACCTTATCTACAGTTGCTGGACTCACCAAAGCTGAATATGATATACTTCAGAGAGAACGAGATAACCTTCTATTTAAAAATAAAGAACTTGATAATGAATTAAGATTATGCAAAGGACAATTACATAGAGAGGAAACAAAGCGAAGCCGCCATGTCAAAATTCTGAAAAAAGCTCAAAATGAACTTTTGAAAGATAAAAATCAACTGATTACAAATCTAGAAGATATTGTCTTTGAATGTGAACATAAGATTAAGCAGTTGGAGGATGATTTGAAAGGAAAT